TCACTGAATGGTAGTATAGCAATGAATGGGTATGTCCATAAACAGCTATACATCAATGAATGGGTAATACGTCAATCTCAGTGAATGGGGAATACGTGCATGAATGGCTATGGCTGTGTGCCAATAAAACTTTATTTATAAATACAGGGGCCCAGTCAGGAGCACAGCTTCGTCCATATTTTTTGGACTAAAATTGAACAAGGACACTCTATGTCTTTTAAAAGTAAAATAGGCGTGCTATGTTAAGTAGTACGTAATAAGTTCTAGTGTGCAATTAATAACACATGTTTGCGTGGTGGAAGGAAAACATTGAGTATTTGTGTCAGTAGACAGTAAGAGCACTGGGGCCACCTAATGATGGAGGATTTATTTCCCTTGAGGTGTTCCTTTAATGCTGTGGCAAGGGGTGCAGCCCTTGCCAAGTACGTACCAGGCTATGGCATCAACAACCAGTACTAAAAAGGAAAGAAAGAGAAATGCAAAAACACAAGAAGACACCAGATGGAGGTGAAGCCGCATAAAGACAGAGACAGACACTGGAGTGATGGGGCCACAGCCCAGGGCCACCTGGTCTCCCGGGAGGAGGCAGAGGCAGGAGGGTCTCCCTTGGAGTCTGTGGAGGAGGCAGAGGCGGGAGGGTCTCCCCGGGAGCATGTTGAGAGAATGCAGCCTGGGACACCTCAGTCTCAGCCTCCTGGGCTCCACGAGTAGGAGGAGATGAATCCTTGTGATTTAAGCTTCTATTCTGTGTATCTGCAAAGACAGCTGGAAGAAACCACACACAGAGCAAGGGAGCCAGCATCTTCCTTCTGTGAGCATCGCAAGAGGCAGAGGACACTCAGCACTGCGTCCATGCGAGACAGATTCAGACCGAGAACCAGAGCGAGACCCGAGGAATCCACTGGGACGGAGGTCGGCTCTTTGGGGAAGACGGAAACTACATTTAGAGGCACAAGGAAGGCGCATGCATGGGCGTGCCAGTTTCATTACTGACTTTCAAATAATTTATTTGTTGCAACCACACACTGCAATTTTGGACAGCTGTGTCTATAACAGAAAGGGCAAAATTGACACCTAAACCCTATAGAACGCCGAGGAAGACACCTATCAGAGAACGCATGGGGACTTACAGAGCATAAAAGAAAAAACAGCTGCCACATTTAAATTAAACCTCCTCCCACAGACTCAAAGAGTTAATTTTTGCTCCGATGATCATAGGACCGTTACAAGCTGCTGACACCCTCAGTGTCTAAATGTAAGCGTAACTCCAATTTGCCCAGTTGGCATGTTACCTAAGTGAAAAGCTGCACACACAACAGCCGTGCAGCTGGGTGATCTTGGCCCCCCAAGGACTGCGCTCCCGTGAGGCGGAACACAGCAAGACCAGTTGGTGGCATCCTGTCTCCTGCACATCGGCCGGTTCCTGTCCTATCCTGTCGAGGCCCTTCCTGGGGGTCAGGACATGTTACCCTTAAATATTTCAAGCGGGAGAAATCTGAGAAAACTGCAGAAATAGAGAGAGCCTGCTTGTCTTCCTCGGAGGTTAGGCAGAGAACCCAGAGAAACACAAGTACAGGCAAGCACAGCCTCTGGGTCGTCTGCGCAGGCTCCTGGGTCACGTAAAGCTTCCTCCATTCAAAGCAATCGGTCACTGTTCCCCTGTTAATCTGTCATGGTGCTGTATTTATCCAAGACAGGTTAGGTCATTGCCAGCATGACTCAGGGTTTTGGGAACACAGCACCCCCACATCCACCAAACACTTGCCTCGGGAGCCTCATCGATAGTAGATGAGCCCCCAACCTCCTGTGCTCAATAAAAAAATTGAATTCCTCCATCAGAGCAAAACAAGAAGTCCTTCCCTGCATACGCGATGTCTTCTCTCTTGGATTCTTCTCTCAACCATGTAATATGCTTATTCCCAATTATGTGATCGCATATCGCTGTGATTGACCACGGCGGACACAAGGAAGCAACCGTGAGTCTTACCTTGAAGAGCAACCAGCCTAGGATCCGCTGGACCAGACGCGTGCCCCAGAATACGTGCTTGTACAGGTCCGTGTTGACCACCCCGGGGTCCACCACGTTAGCGGTCACGTGGCAGCCCTGGGCTTCCAGCAGCCTCTGGAGGTGGTAGGAGAACATGACCAGGGCCAGCTTGCTCCGGGCGTAGGCTCCATGCGGTGAGTAGCAGGAGCTGAAGGAAATACGGGAGAGGATGTGAGAATGCCGCTGTGTCTGTGCCCAAATGCCCTCCCACCCGCACCCACGGCTCCGTGTCCTGTCCTCACGCAGAGATGGACAGTGCTCATCGTGCTGGGCACTTTCTTGTTATCAAGACACAGTCCCCAGCACCCACAATTTAAATGGTTCCAGTTCATGCTTGGCTGCTCCAAGGCAGGAGCATCATGGCGGACGGGCGTGGAGGAGGAAAGACGCTCACATCATGGAGGCCAGGAAGCAGAGAGAGAGGAGGAGTGGGGACAAGAACTCGCGCTTCCAGGTCACACCCAGTGACCACCTCCAACCAAGCCCCGCCTCCTACAGCACATTCTGCTATGGGTTCATCCACGACCTTAGGCACTTTGGTGTTGCTGAGACACAGTATTTGACACCCACAACCCATAGGAGAGGGTTAATTAGGCTCACGGTTGCAGAGGGTGCAGTCCATGGTCGGCTGCTCCAGGCAGGAACATCACGGTGGATGGGCATGCGGGAGGAAAGACACTCACATCATGGCAGCCGGGAAGCAGAAGGAGCTGGAAAGTGAGATGAACCTTTCGGGGCCACACCACAGTGGCTCCCTCTTGTGACCAGGTTCTGTCTCCTAACAGCAAGTCAGCTATAACACCCTGATGATTTGATCCCTTCCTGAAAGGTCCACTTATGAGTGCACAAGGCCCATAGGGGACACTCTGGATCAGAACCACAACACCCGTGGAAACAGCAACACCATGGTCATGTCCATCGCAAATAGGGCCGAGAGCTCAAAGCACAATCACAGCTCCTAAGCCCCAGAAAGCAAAGAGCCAACATCCTACTTCTCCGAATCCTTCTCACCGGTACCTCCATCTTCACGAAGCACCCTGAGTTTTGCTTTGTTCTCTGCACACCTCACGCACAACCTAGCTTCTGCCAGGATGTCCTGGCCTGCAGTCCCACTCTCTCCATTTCCAAAGGAAAGTCACCTCATTGACAATTCTTCTCTCTAGAGTTGAGTTTGACTCAATCTTGCACTCAACTCTGGTGCAAACTTCTGTAGTTTCTCGTGCAATTTCTCCTTGCGTGGGGTCTTCTGAAGCCTTTTTATATTATAAACTTCTAATTTAACTGTATGGGGATAGAGGCCTTCCACTGAGTTAGGCTTCTTTGGAATTGCTGAGCACTGTTTTGGGCCCAAAGCACAATTCCTAGGTATAAATGCTTCATTTCTTTATCTGTTGGTTTGTTGGGTGGTCCTGGGTACTGAACCCAAGGCCTTTGCACTGAGCTACCTCCCCAGCCCTTTTAATGTGGGCACAAGGTCTCCCTGAGTTGCTAATTGGTCCAGGTTGTGGTGGAACTTGTGGTCCTCCTACCTCAGCCTCCCAGAGTGCTGGAATTGCTGGCCTGTGATATGCTTAACAAACTAAAAGCAACCTGTAGGCGTAGCTCATGCTGTTGTTTAATAAAATTCAGATGAAAACTGACAAGCACAATCTTTTTGGCCTGGGGTCCTTCCTCAATTCCACACACTTCCAGTTCTCCACCTGGCTGGAATAAGAAATCCACTTCCTAGGAAAGGCCATGGGCCAGACCCAAACTTTGGCCTGGAGTCCACTAGCTTTAGGAGGGAAACTGACACTCAGGTCCAGTAATTCAGGGTTGGTGGTGGCAGGAAAGTGGAGGATAAGGAAGGGTCCCTTTGTGGAGGAGCGTGTGCCCACCCATGTGCCCAAAATTGAGACGTAACTCCACGGCCAGAAGTGTGAGGTAGAAAGACTGGATATACATCCACCGGGCGGAGAGATTCTGACAAGAAACAAGGTTGGCCAGAGGTCAAGTTGCAACACTGCTTCAGTTTAGATCTGAGATGTCGGCAAAGTCTCCTGTGTGTGGAAGGTGACCAGGTCACGGAGCGCTGTGCTCAGCAGTGGACTCTCCTGTGGATGAGCTCCTGGATGAACATGGCTTTAGGAAACAGGACTAGACTGGAGGTGGTCACTGCAGTGTGACCTGGAAGGGTGAGCTCTTGTCCCCGGCTCCTTCCTTCTCTCTCTGCTTCCCGGCTGCCATGATGTGAGCGTCTTTTCTCCTCCATGCCCGTCCACCATGATGCTCCTGCCTTGGAGCAGCCGGCCATGGACTGCACCCTCTGCAACCGCGAGCCTAATTAACCCTCTCCTCTGGGTGGTGGGTGTCAAGTATTGTGTCTCAGCAACACCAAAGTGCCTAAGATAGTGGATGAATCCATAGCAGAATGTGCTGTAGGAGGCGGGGCCTGGTTGGACGCAGTCACCAGGGTGTGACCTGGAAGGGCGAGTTCTTGTCCCCAGCTCCTCCCTTCTCTCTCTGCTTACAACCACCATGATGTGAGCGTCTTTCCTCCCCTACTCCTGTCCACCATGATGTGAGCGTCTTTCCTCCCCCACGCCCATCCGCCATGATGCTCCACTGGCAGCAGCCCAGCGTGGACTGAATTACTAACATGCACTCATTGTACCAATTAATGGGGTCCCCGTCACAGTTCCATACATACACACGTGGTACACTGAACATAATCTGTCCCCAAACCTCACAAACACAGAACCGAGGATAAAAAGAACAGTACGATCAGCTCAGTAGGTGCAGGGAAAGCGTTCAATAAAAGCCAGCATGCATGAAAATGGGATCAAACATTCACATAACAAAGGGTAGAGAGGACAAACCCACAGCCAAGCCCACACTGAACAGGGAGTACTTTCCTTCCAGGTCAGAAATGAGCTGGGTGTGGTGGTGCACATGTGTAATCCCAGCACTCAGGAGGCTGAGGCAGGAGGACCACCATGAGTTCGAGGCCAGCGTGGGCTACAAAGCAAGCTCAAGGCCAGTCTGAACTGCACAGTGAAAGCCTGTCTCAAAAAAGACAAAGACAAAACCAACCAAACAAAGAAACGAACCAGGGATGCCCACACTGAACAGTTCCCCTTAACACTCCTCCAGACTTCAGCCAGAGTGATGGCACAATGGGAAGAAAGAAAAAGCCCACCAGTAGCAAAGGGAGGACTCAGACGACTTCTGTTCGCAGATGGCAAAGTTTTATATACAGAGAAAACCCACTAAGAGTCACAAGCAACCTCAGCACCTTACCAGAATACAAAATCAATCTGCAAACATGGCTTCTTTCTTTCACCTTCTATTTTTTGTGCTAATGGGGATGGAATCCAGGGCCTTTCCACTGAGCTCCAATCCCAGCACCCACTTTTTTACTTTGAGACGGGGTCTTGCCGAGCCGCTAAGTTGCCCAGCTTGGGCTCCAAACGGAGATCCTCCTGCCTCAGCCTCCCAGAGTGCTGGGAGGACAGGTGTGCGCCGCAGCCCCCAGCAGGTAACTTTCAATATGCACTAGTAATGTACATGCTGAGAAGGGAACCAGGAAGATAATACGATTCAGTAGCAAAGACAAACACAAACAGACTCAGACCTAGGAATAACCATACGTAAGGAGGCGAAGGACCTAAGATAGCTTTTTTAGGTATATCCTTTATCCTGCTGGACCCAGGGGAGAGGATGCTGGGGACTGGGTATTATTATCGGGTCTGGTTAAGCTTTGAGCTTTTTCCCGCTGCCAAGGGCCCTTTAAACATCCCGTGGGAGATTTTAAACCTGAGTCACTAGGGTGGATGGAGGCTGGGGGAGAAATGTTACTTTAAAAAGAAGAAAGTGAATCGTACAAACGCAGGCTGCTCAGGGTACACCAACGGGTTCTATAATTACGGTTTTATACAGTACGGCGGAGCACAGAGAGAACCAAAGTCCTTTAAAAATACTACACATTTCTCTGCAGGAGATGAGGGAAAATGCTGTGAGCGTAGAGATGATTGTAGGAGGATTTAGAATGAAAACACAGCCGCACAGCCAGCGAAATGAAATGGAATGAAATGAAAAGCCAGGAACAAGCAGGATCTGCCGCCGAGGTCTGCAAACACAGCCTGTTTGCTCCAGCATCAAAGGGGTTGTTCCCCAGCCGAGAGGAAAGAAGGTCAGGTGAAGCGGGGTGCAGAGGGGAAAGCCAAGAGGAGAAAACTCACTCACTGTCTCCACAGCCTGGTTCTCCAGTGCTCTTTGCAATGAATTACTTCTGCAATAAATGGTGTCAGAAAAGCACAGCCAAAGTCCTAACACACAGACATATAGGAGCTAGGATCACAGCCATGCCCCACTAACGTGCCTGGATACATCTTTACTTTTCTTTTGCTTCCTTGTTTTCAAGTGCGATGTTGCCGCATAGCACAGGCTGGACTTGAACTCACGGCGATCCTCCTGCCTCAGCCTCCCGAGTGCTAAAATTATAGGCGTGTGCCACCACGCCCGGACCAATGTTTAAACTTTCAGTAAATCCTGATTGACTGACATAGACCATTACAGACTAATTTGAAGGTGTGTGGAAAACAAAGAGAGACAGAATAATACAGTGGGCTTTATCTTTCAGGAGTAAAAATAAAAGGTAGATAATTGTGTTTAAATGTAATATATGTGTTTCTGGTTAGAGAATCTAAGAGGTAATCGCCCTCCAAAAGATTCTAGATATAAAATGGAGAAGCATTACAATAGAAAGGTAAAATCAACTGCACATTAAATTGTAGCAGAGCTGGATTTCAATAGGTAAGAAGACAAATGATTTATGACAGATACATCTATGTGTCTGTCTATCATCTATCTTTTATTTATATTTATCTATCCATGCATCTACCCATGTGTTTACTACATCTATCTGTCCATCCATCATTTATCTGTACCTACCTACCCATCCTCCTATCTATCTGTCTTGCTGAGCAGAAGCTCTGTGATCTGATTCGTCGAGTCTCGGTGCTGTGTAGGAAGTTCCTTCCTGTGTCTTTGTCTTCAAAAGTTCCGCCTCTTTCATTTTCCAAAGAGCCAGCACTTCTGATTTCGTACCTCCGGCTAACGGTGGAACGTGATGGACGTGTACAATCACTTTCCATCAACGTTCCTATA